GATACCGAAAATGTTTTTATTTTTTCAATTTTTTTAAATATTTTATTTTTTAATTTTTTTATATTTTTATTTTTTTACTAAATTTATTTTTTTATTTACTTTTTAGGGGCTTTGCGGAAATATTAGGGGTCTAAAAAGACCCCTGATATTTCCCTTTTAAAATAGAAAAAGAGATTTTTCTGTGTCCCCTGTTATCAATGAACAGGAATCCTCTGAGTGTTCCTGTTCATTGATAACTTGAGAATATTGTTTGTTTACTATAACTACAATTATGAATGAATGGGGGTGATGTAGATCACTCCCATTCATTCATAATTGAGGATATAGTTAACTTACCATATCCTCAATTATGTACACACACTCAGCGATCACTGATAGCTGAGTGTGTACCTTGCTTTTCTCTCTGACACGCTGTCACAGGAGGCTGATCGAGCGGTGTAAAGAGGAAAGCCCAGCCTCCTGTGACAGCGCTGTCTCCACCCCCACACCGCTCTGCCAGACTGTGATAGGCGGCTGAACGGTGTGGGAGGAGAGATGCCGGCCGCTCACAGCGCTCTCGTCCTGCAGCGCTCGGCCGGCTGTCACTTTCTTTTTTCCCCGCTGGAACAGCGGTCAGTGGGGAGAAAAGAAACCAGGGATGCGCCGATGTATCGGCCGAAACATGGCTCTTTCAGCATTATGCCAAAAGTGCAATTTTCGGCCGATATATCTGTGCATCCCTAGTTTTTTTCTTTCCTATTTTGGGGGGTGTCCTGTCCAAAATGAACAAAGCTTGCCAACCCCTTTGAACTACAGCTGGTAGTCTCCTTACACCTAGGAGACAGTTCTACTCATACTTTAAGTTACAGCTACCTTAAATACAGTGTACATTTTACTGTGTTTAATAAAATGTAATAGTATCCGTTCACTACACATGCAGTGTTTTACATTTTAGGTTGTTAACTTTATAGCATCGGGTCACGAAAGCATAACACATGCAGTATAATTTTCTTTAACAATTTTGTCACTATAGGCTTTCACTCAGGCAATTGAATTTAGCACTTGCATGTTTTAATTGATTTTTGTGTTCTTTATTTTAGAGTTTCGCAAAGATTATTATGCAGGTTGTATCTTAACCAGTTGACATCCGCGGTGTTAAACCCCCTTCCCATCCAGGCCATTTTTCAGTATTCAGCGCTGCGGTACTTTAACTGACATTTATTCCGTCATGCAGCGCTGTACTGAAATGAATTTTATACCCTTTTTTGGGGACAGATAGAGCTTTCTTTTGGTGGTATTTATTCACCACTGGGGGTTTTATTTTTTTACTATTATAAGGAAAAATTACCGAAATTTAAAAAAAAAAACAGTTTCCCCTATATTAAATGATAAAACATTTATTATTACCCAATTTTTTGGTAAAATATAAAAGATGGGGTCACGTCGGGTAAAAAGACACTAAACATGTCAAGCCTTAAAATTGCGTGCGCGCGCGAAACCTCAAAAAACGATAATACCCAAAATTGGCCCTAGGCGACGCTTTAAAAGCTGTTACCGCTCATCAGTTTAGTGTTATCAGTGATTGATGGCCCTAAAATGATTGCTCTCACTGCGACGTTCGCGGCGATATGTAACATGTGTAGCGCAATTGTAATTTTTGCGCGCTGGGGCACCGGACGCGTATTTACGTTTATAGGCGCGTAAACGTGGGGGTGGGGGAGTTAAACATTTTGGGGGGGTTTTTTCCCCTTT